GCATGCTGGGGTGCGACACGGGCAGTGACACGGGCATCATGCTCGTGTCACCTAACTGAAGGATTTCGAAGCTTTTGACCTGACACGGGCTGCGACACGGACGGTGACACGGGCAGACTGCCGTGTCGCGTGCGCAGACAGATTTTTAAAGCTTGCCTTTTTTGATAAGGAGAAGGGTTATGGACATATAAAAAGGCATATTTACCTTGTTTTGAGGGGAGAACGTGAATACGCTGAGAGGAGAGCCCTAGAACACACAAGAGAAGCAATTGGGAAGCAAAAAGAAGATCAACTACGAAGGGATCAAGGAGATTGAAAGATCGACGAGATTCCTAGTTTTTATTTCTTCTTTCCTTTTGAACTTTTATTGATCATGTCGATTTCTAATATGTCTATGTGTTTGAATTCGAACATGAGTGGCTAGATTTATTGATTCTAAGACTTGGTAGTAGATTAACATGTTGGGATTTGGATTATTTATTTATAATTAATTTTTTTTTTCTTTTGAACCCTATTCAAGTATTTTGTTCTTATTCTATGTTTAGAACTTGATCAATTCTTTTACATGTTTGACAATATTGTTTATAATTCGAGAGATGAGTTCAATATTAGGTCTTTAATATTTGACATAATTTACTTGCTTGAATCGAGAGATTTGTAGGTAATTGTGAGGATTTTAGATCTTTTAATCTATTTGGAGTTGAATTGCATGTGTTGAGTGGAGTCGCTAATATATGTCATTTAATCTACGGTTTTATCGATCTCGAGAGAGACGATATGCTAAATTTGTGATCATCTTATAGGGTAGATAAAGAAAACATTTAGTTGTGATATTTCTAAAGAATCCTAACTGTTAATTGAACCCACAGTCTTAGAATCCCTCATTCTCATATATTTGTCTTACGTGTTCTTTAGTTTATTCATTGTTCTTGCTTTATTTGCTTTGATCTATTTTCTTAGTTTAGTTAATCCATCTCATATTCGATCGTCTAAATAATGTTAACACTATCATCATCTAGTACTTGATATATTAATTATTTGGTCTCTTGGGATACGACCTTGCTTGCCACATACTACGAGCGAAGCCGTACACTTGCGGTCGAGCTTTAAAACTATAGGCGAACATCTTCAATGATCTTAGCAGAGTTACTTCTGATTGTTGGTTTCCAATGTTTAATAGATGTCCTCATGACATTTTTTATTCTCTTTTGCAACCCTACCATAGCAGGTCCACTCACCTCAGAATTCCAGGCTTGTTTTACTAGCTCCTGAAATCCTTCATGTTTGATCCATCTAGGGTCAAAAGAGAACCTTTTGTTTCCTTTCTCCAACTCAGGGTTTTGGACTAACAGGAGTAAACTATGGCCAGAAGATGTGAGAGGAATATTATTCACCAAAGCATTTGGAGATTGGAGTGCCCAACTAGGTGAAAGGAAGAACCTATCTAGTTTTTCTTCTACAAATTCTTTCCCTTGTCTAAGCTTAGACCAAGTAAAAGGATGCTCAGTAGTCCTAGGTTCCACCCCAGCTATCCCCCTCACAATTCAGCAAAACTAGACTTCTCTCTGGTCAACCCCCTTGCTTCTCAAATTTATTCAAAAGGTCATTAAAATCTCCCCCTATAAACCACTTACCCCCCACAAAAACCTATGTCTAAGCAAAAAATCCCATTGTAGCAATCTAATGGTATTATTAGTATTTGCATAAATAAAGATAGCCCATTGAGTATTGCTACATCCTACACACTGAAATTGGACTTTCATACAAAAGTCAACACAGTGAATTTGCAAAATAGTAATTCTAGAAGACCAACAAAGAAATAAACCCCATCTACTCCCTACGAGATCAACACTAGCCCATCTATCTCTTAACTTAAGCTTATTATCTACTGTAGACACAAACCTATATTTCTTTTTTGTTTCTGACAAAAAAAAGAGAAAATCTGGGATGTGAGATCTTAGAATCTCTTTGGTTTGGGAAATTGTAGAGGGTCCTCCCAGACCTCTACAATTTCACACACATACTTTCATTGGGGGGTTGGGGGCCAATTAGGGTTGGCCTCCTCCCCCTTGACTTATTTTTCCTTTGTTACTTCATCTCAGTCTTTTTGCTATGCTCTCAGACTGCCTATCCTCTATTTCTTGCGAAATCGGATTTCTTTTTAAATTCTGCTTACCCTTAGGGTCTTTAAATGACACATCTTGGTTATCTACCAGCATACTCACTTCCTCTGGGGCTTTAGAAACTCTAGGCTTGCTCACAAATCCCCTTTGACTCTTTTTCCTACCCTTATCAGTTTGATCCGTTTGCACATCAACGTCCACAAGATTATTGAGTGTAATCTGATGGGTTGACTTAGGTGGCAAACTTTTAGAAACATTACCCACTATCATAGATTTGTCAGTAGCCTTTTGTCCCACTACACTATTTGTAGTGGATAAAGCTACAGCCCTAGGTTCCCCTACCCCTTCTAATTTACTAGATGATCCCAAAGATTTTCCTTCCAACCTACTCTCACATCTCTCTGGTGTTTGACTCTGGGTATTAGTAAACTTACTCCCTGAAGGTTGACTATCACTAGAACTAGCTTTATTACCCCTTCCCTCATTACCACTACTCACATGGGCCCTAATCCAATCTCCAAACTGCCCTAGATGCAAAACATTTCTACTCACATCTTCTTTCCTAGTTAAACAATTTCTATCTCCATATCCTGTCCTTCCACAATAAAAGCAGAAACTTTGAAGGTTCTCATACCTGAAGTCCACCCATGTTAAACTCTTTCCCCAACATTATCTTAGCACCTCTAAGGAGAGGGTCCTTCAGCTTCTGCTCTACAAGAACTTTAATGATTCTGCCTTGATTGATCCCTGAGCCATGAACCAGCACATCATGTACTTTACCAATAAGTCTCTCAACTTTGAACCCCACTTCTGATGATAACCAGTGCAATGGAAGGTTGGATATTTGTACCCACAACTTAACCACTTCTTCTTCTTCCACAAAGTCAGTCTTCTTTGGGTCCCAAGCCTTCAATATGAGGTACTGCCCATCAAAGGTCCACGTTTTCCCTGCAGTATTTTCTCTTTGTCCTCCTCACAACCAATGATAAACTGAAGTACGTTGTCACCTAAATTTCGGATTGTAACCTGTGACTTCGTAACCCAGATACTTCCCAAAGTAGCCTTTAATCCTCCGAAGTTTGCCTTTCTTTCTATATATACTTTGCCTATCATACTCAAATGACAATCTTGCACTCCTATCGCTACATCCTCGTCCGATAGTGCAACCCCAACTTCCTCTTTTTCTGAGAGAACAAATCTTTGCAATTTTGCAGCTACGTCGTCAGCCATCGAGCAGTCTTTCTAAACCCTAAATCACCTGTACCAGACCACTGTAGCAGCAATTGAAAATAACCAGACAATCACAAGGGAAATAAAGAAAGCAACTAACACAGAACATAGGTTAGGAAAACTCAAAACAAATGGGAACACGAACTAAGGAATATACAATAGAGAGAGAGAGAGAGAGAGAGAGAGAGAGAGAGAGAGAGAGCAAAAAGCACAATTGCAACTTAGAACAATAGAAAATTTGAAGTTTAAACCCTAAAACCCCCCATCCTACTAAAGGAACTCAAGACTCAAAAGAGATATTGAAACCCTAGAAACGGGACTATAGGTAATTTGGTCAAAGGGGTAAAAAATAAAAATTTCCACATCATTTTATCAACTCCCTACTAATCAATTAGGTCTGTCAAATATTCTCATGAATGCACTGCGCTTATATTGTACCACAATAATTAATTTACTCGCAAAAAGAATAGTAACATGATAATAATTCCATTTCATTTTCATTATCCTTTCCTATGACAAGACATGACACCCAAAATTAAAGCAGCTAGTTGTTCAGTGTTTGGGGTCACAAAAATATCAATTGAGGGAGCCCAATGTTTTTAAAATAAAGCTTGCTTGCATCACTCTATAGTCCATACCAATGCAATTAATTTAGTCATTATCAATTCACTCAATTAATTGGTTGTAAATCATTAGTGTTGTGCCCAAAGTATAATAAGTCTACATTAATTGGGTCCAAGTGATTTCTTGTATTAACACTCTCACTATTAACAAGTATCACATTGGCTTAACATTATTACTCATTATAATATCATCTCGTTGAATTAAATACATTATATTTACACATCTTTTTCTATAATAATAATAATAATAATAATAATAATAATAATAATAATGGATAGTGATACTTTGCTTACTTAGAAAAATGACAAAAATATCAACTTCAAGTCTTCAAGTAATTCGGAAAAAGAAAAACACTAAATAAATACTCTTCCATTCCAACGGAAATTTTCCGTGTGAATTCTTTATATTTCCCGTTGGAATAGTTATTCCAACGGATATTCCTACGTATAAAAATCCGTGGGAAAAACGACTGTTGGAATAGCTAAAATCCAACGGAATATCCTATGGAAATAAATTCCTACAAGTATTCCAACGGAAAAAAATCTGTTAGAATTCATAAACCATCCAACACTTATTCCAACATAAAATTAAGTTTGTTGGAATATTCATTGAAATTTCCAACGAAAATTTTTGCCGTTGAAATTTTTCATTGAAATTGAAGTATTTTCTTGTAGTGAAATTCTTCAAGTAATATTTAATAAAAGTTCAATGCATTTCATTAACAGCATAAATTGAGGCAGAGAGATCCCTTTCAGTTGAAAAATAAAAACTGAAAGTTGGATCCAGCAAATGCCACACAAAAAGGGCAACACCACTATCACACCATGCCTCACTTGTTCTCATTTACATACATACATTTTCT